TTGACTCCCACCAGCAAAGGCCAAGCATGCCACTCTTGATATCCAGCCTGGAGAGTGAACAGGGGATTCGTTCAATGGTTCTGTAAGGCTCACATAGAAGAGATGGTTTCGCCACAGGCTCCTTGTATTCCTTCTCTTCTGTATGGATATGTAACTCCCCCTCCAATTCGTACCGATCTTCCTCATGGTGTAGTCTTTATAATGGGGACAAATTATACTCCCTATCTTTAGAAATAAAGAGGTTGGTTTGATTTTTCTGTAAAATCACGTGACCTCAGTGCAAGTAGCAGGACAGGAGAGTTGGCCTGGAAGAGGAAGTGTCAGTTACAATACTACTTTACAACTCGATTTATTTGTGAATGACCGGACAAATAGTAACATCCTATGTTTCAACTCTCTTTGCTTTAAGAGAAGGCCCAGAAATTAGATCAAGGAACAATAGTCCTCATAAGTGTGATAAAACTCTTCACTTAAGAGATGATGCCTTCTCCAAGCCCCATCCTGAGAAGTCAGAAGTAATACTATCAGCATTGCCACCTATGGATAGATTAGATCCAGCATCTCCGTATTCAGAATCCTTTCACAACAATTGGATGTGCCTCCTCCAAGGACTCACTGGGCACCTTGAAGCCATTGAGTCCAGCAGCCATTGTGCAAGAGTGTATGCAAACAAGCAGCTTCTCTGATGGTCCTGAGAAACATGGAGAGAGGTTTTTCTTACATCTCTCACAGAATTATTAGCTATTTTGGAAGGATGTCACTGATATTATAGGGCAGACACTAATTCTGAGAGAAAGCAGGTGACATTGGCCTAGACAATATGTAAATGAGCTACACACTGTAAATTCTAAATATTCCCAATGGGACCTGAAACAGTACTAATATATCCCCTGACAGGGAAGTATAACGCCCAACACCAGATGTGACCAATGCTTGAAGAGGTTTCAAAGCACTCAAGTAAAGGCAACAAATTATGCTACACTGATGACAGCTATTGATCAGAGCCTAAGAAAAACCAGACTGCCATTCTACAGTGCTCAAGAAGCCTATTCCAAAGTATATCTAACAATTCCCACTTTCCTTGAGGGAAAAAAAAATCCTTCTCTGTAACACATTTCTCACTCAACCTGCCCTAATACCACAAAGAAATTACAGAAATTGTCACTGGGATCCAAGACTCCTCCTACTGATGACCTACTAGATGGACAAAACTACCAATGTCAGCTGGGTGGTGGTGGCGCACCCCTTTAATCCCAGCACTCGGGAGGCAGAGCCAGGTGGGTCTCTGTGAGTTCGAGGCCAGCCTGGTCTACAGAGGGAGATCCAAGACAGGCACCAAAACTACACAGAGAAAGCTTGTCTCAAAAAAACAAAACAAAACAAACAAACAAACTACCTATGTCTTTTGCAATCAGGCTCTAGAGAGGAATGGAGAGAAAAAAAGAGAGGCTAAACTTACCAGAAAGAGAGAAAAATAAAATAAAGAGAGGAAGCATCCTTAATAGCCTATGAGATAACCCAAGATTCCCACTGGAGATTGCTAATTCTGGAGATAATAAACTGGCAGATAAATGGTAGACAAGTCACAGAAGAGAGGTAGCCCAAACATCAGACATTTTCCTAAAAGTCCTTTCTCTGAGTGTAGTCAAATGGGCCAGAGGAGGACTCTACTCCAACAGTCAAAGGACCCCTAGACTGCAGTCCAAGATATTGTCTTTGGGATGAGGAATAATCCATGGCTCCAGTTGGGCTCCCGCTCAACCATCACCCTCAATGGGACAGAGCCTCAGGTAAATCTGAAATTGCAGGTAGGATTAGATACGTTTTTTTCCTCGATAGTGGGGCCTCCAACTATGTTCTCACTGTGTATTTATAGCATCAGTGAGAATCCTATGACTAAATATTTCATTCTGCCTTTATGACATAGTTCACTTTTCATCCATACTCTCCTAGTCAGACTTGAATGTCTACTCCCTTTATTAGGCAGAGACCTATTAACAAAATTGGGGCCTAGATTACTTACAGTCTACTAAATAATCCCATCATAATGGTAACGGGCACCTCTCCTGAAGGGCAGACAGTGACCCGGTCCTGATGGACCTCCCTATTAATCCCCAGGTACATGCTACTGACATGTTAACAGGGTCACGGTCTCCCCAACTATCGTCAAATTTAAATCGCCCCTTGCTTTTCCTAATTTTAAATAATATCTTCATTATCCTGAGCCTTGGTCAGGACTTCAACCCCTAATCAGTAAATTCTTCTGTTGTAGCCCTGTAATGCCCCTTTAGTGCCTATCAAAAACTCCAACAGAGACCATCACTTGATACAAGGCTTCCTTGTTGTAAATAAAGCTGCTGGTCTCATATATCCAGTGACCTCTGACCCTTATACGGTATCAGATGAATTCCATCTAACACTCAACGATTCACAGTTCCGGATCTTGAGATGCCGAGATGACATTTTTGTAACCCGGTAGCCTCTGAATCTCAATTTCTTTGCCTTTGAATGGGCTGATGCATGAAGACTGAGCTCCTCTTCCCCCAGGGCTAGGGACAGACTCATATTTTGAGATAGGCCTTAGTCAAGGGATCTAAATAACTTAACTTCAGAAAATACCATAATTTTACAATATGTAGATAATCTCCTATATTAAAGAAAGCCCCAAACCACCCATAACAGATTTTAAATCCCCCATCTAATAGTGAATAAACAGTCTCTAAGCCCAGGGCCCAGTGGTTAACCCAAAAGCATTTTATCTGGGCTTCATGCTAACTCCGGGTTGTACAGCTCTTTGGTTGATAAAGTTCAAGTTCTGCAGACCCTTCCCACACCTAGCACTGTAAAACAGCCTTTTCAGAACTAACAGGCTAGTGTTGACTTTACATTCCCAGATGGCTAAGCCTATTTGTAATGACCAAATTTCCCTTTTCTAGGAACAAAAACAAAAGAAGGTCTTTGATAAATAAAAGCCTCTTGACTCCAGACTCCAACTTCAGAGCTACCTTAGCTGACAGGCCTTCTAAATTGTTCGTTACCAAAGGTCAGGGTGCAGCCCTGGAAGTCCTCACCCAGGCTTTGGGTCAAGCCCATTGTTAACTGTTTTGATAATTATCCAAACAGCCTGACCTGGTAGACCAAGAGTGGCTGGGTTACATTAAGACAATGGCAGTTACAGGTTTCCTTTGGAAGAACCTCATGAGTTGACTCTGGGTTCTCCTTGGCTTGGTTGTTCTTCACCCAAATAACCCCTGTTAGAACCCAAAGGATCCCATTGACTTAGAGATATTCGTCTCTTACTTGGCCAAGCCTTGTTACTTGACAACACTGAACTACCTTTATGTAGACAATCTACCCTCAACACTGGTGCTTGCTTTCCTACCCCTAAAGAACAGTATACCTAGCTCAGGAGACACTCTGGGGAAGTCCATTCACAATTGCCTCGAGGTTATTAATTTATTTCATTATAATAAAGAAGACTTGCGCCGAGCAGTGGTGGCGCACGCCTTAATCCCAGCCCTAGGGAGGCAGAGGCAGGCGGATCTCTGTGAATTCAAGGCCAGCCTGTACTACCAAGTGAGTTCCAGGAAAGGTTCGAAGCTACACAGAGAAACCCTATCTCGAAAAAACAACAAGAAGAAGAAAAGAAGGAGGAGGAGGAGGAGGAGGAGAAGAAGAGAAGAAGAAGAAGAAGAAGAAGAAGAAGAAGAAGAAGAAGAAGAAGAAGAAGAAGAAGAAGAAGAAGAAGAAGAAGAAGAAGAAGAAGACTTGCAAGATAAGGTGTCTTTGATAACTCAAATGTATTTTGCTCACTGGTGGCCATTCCTAGGGGGAAATGAACAATGAGCTAGTTATGGTACTGCTTCCCTTGAAATCACACTAAAGGCCTAATCCCTGCCTCCCAGAACCTCAGAACTGCTAGCTGGGTTAATAGTCTTAACTCAGGCTTTGAAACTTAGCCAGGGGAAATGCGACACAATACACACCAACTCTGAGTATGCCATTCTGGTATTGCATGCACTGCTACAATCTGGTGAGAGAGTATGGGAGCCCACACAGGTTTCCCAGTCAGATCTGAGCTTGCTTTACCCAGCAGGGCTGCACTAGGGAATGGCTGGACTATGTGCGTGGTCACCAGGTGTCTGGAATGGCCTGCACTTGGCTGTGCTAGGGAAGGTCTTTTGCTCCACCCCTTGGCATTCCTTTAAAGAGCCCTTTAGTAGAGACAGAAGGGGCTGGTGAGTTTTGACCCAGGCCCTCCTAAGGATATGATACCCTGATGGAATAAGAGGGAGCCGGTCTCCCTCAAGAGAGACGTTGCCTTAATGTCAACTGTTCCGTCGAAGGTAGGCCTCCGGTTCTAGTCTAGCCAGCTAGAACAGCAGTAGTCCATTGTAGGTACCAGCAAATAGGGACGCACAAGGAACTCAGAGAGCAGACACGACAGCCAAATGGGCACCTAGATATGGTTCAGTTATGTTACATTTAAGTTCCCATCTCATATTCCTTCTCCAATTTACAAACCAGAAACTACCAGGGCCTTATCCTAAGAGTGTAAACAAGACCAAGATGGGTGGCTGATTAGAAAACTCCTTTTACCTTCCCCAGTCTATAGAAAACCAGTAATCACGTGAGTTCTGCCGTCTAAGCTAGGACCAATCGTATCAAATTTGTACAGATGTTCTGTAGCAAAGAACTTCATAAAACCAATGATCGGATTTTAAAACCTGTACTCTCTGTGCTGTTACTAGGAATCCAAAACTCTCCTCCTTTGCTGGCTCCAGTCCAGTGACATGGACCATGTCCTGGTGAGGAATGGCAAACAGAGTCGATATAAGTGCCTCGTGGTCGGAGATTCAAATAGAGGTCTTCCCTGATACCCACACGGGTGTAAGAGGGCTTCTCTACATAATCTGAAGTCCCCCTTTCCTAACTTTAGCTGGGGTCTCAACTCTTAAGGTGGGCAAGGGGAGAGTGCTAGGCAGCTAGTTAGATATTACCGGATGTGGAGGCCTTGAAGTTGAACTCCCTGCTTCCTGACCAGAAGCCTGTAGAGCAAATGACAGGAAGAACAGTGTTACAGGGACTGAGTCGTGTTGCTGGCTCAGGAAGACGTGCTATATTTTGTGCTTCCCAGAAGGCATTACTGAATAACTATCTACACTGGGCTCCATGAAAACCCTAAACCTCCTAAGATTATTGTATAGCAGGAGGATTTCTGGCAAAAAAAAAAAAACAAACACATACCGTCTTATGGTAGGTATCACCAAGCCACCTTGTTCTAGAGATTATAAAACATAATCCATAATATCAGAAAGGCATGGCAGCAGATGTCTCCACAGCGTAGCAGTGAGAGAATATGGCAGCTGCTTGCTTACATCCCAGTGGACCCAGAAGCACAAAGAGGAAAGAGCAAAGGGGAGCGGCATAAACATCAAGCCTGACTCTACTTCTTCCAGCGAAGCCTCACCTCCTAAAATTTCCACCACTTCCCAAAACAGTGTGACAAACAGGAGACCCAGTGTTTAAACACAAGAACCTGTTGGAGGCATGGTGGGACATTTTCACGTCTACACAATAAGGTCTCCTTTGCTTTGCAACAAATCATCATCTGTATAGTATTCTTTGTGTCTCATCTTCAACGGAGATGACAAGGGTCAGAGAGATGAAGAGTAGGTGGACCAAGATCATGGTGATGATGAGGTCACCACCCTCCTCTAAAGACTCACAGCTACTAATGATGAACATGCCACTGTCACCAGGGATTTTGCAGTAGAAGAAAAATGCCACTGTCACCCTGTTACATGGGATTTTGCAGTAGAAGAAAAAAGACTCTAATCACTGAACTCAGAAAACTGTAAACCCCATAGGCTGGGAACACAGAAAAGTACCTGGATTTTAAGACATGTGCAAACATGTAAGTCCAGGGAGCAACTGACTCAACATAATAATCTACGTGTAACCCAAATTTCATCAAGATCCCCTAAATTGTTAGGATCCATTCTCACTGGATGCTCTTCATCACTGGTTGCTAATACATAATACAGATTACCTAAAAATTAGGATATTTCAAGCATTTTTGACAATTGTCAAGAGATGTATATGTTTTTATAAACACATCACGTCTACCTTTTAACAAACACTCTCTTGCTGGACCTCCTCAGTATGGAGTCTGACCATTTACACTAACCAAGGTCTCCCAGCAGACATCATAGCCTCCCTCAGAGTTCTAAGGTACTATGATAGGTACGTGGTAGGGACTGGGTGAATACCTGAATGCAACCTAGATAAATGGCCACAGGTCATTAGACTTGTCACAAACTTGTTTAAATCCTAGGAATCACTCTTTATCCCTATACTCACTGAAGGTCCCAGAAACCATATTATGGGATATGTTTCTATAAAAATCTCCATAAAGAAATCAGACAAGTATTGTCATGAATGGTATTCAGGAGAATGTATACTTTTTTTTTTTTTTTAAATCTTTCTCATTGGTATAAGAAAATACTGGCAAGACCAGTGTAAGAAAGGAAAGACTGGCCTGGCTCATGATTTCATGGGTTTGTTCAGCCCTTGGCTTTGTTGATTCTGGGTATATGGTAATGTAGAACATCGGGATTGCAGGGGTGTGTGCTAGAAGCTTCTTCATTTGATAGTGCACTGGAAATAAAACAGGGAGGGGGGATCCCAAGATAACATGCTCCCCCAGAACCACTTCCTCCCGTGAGACCCCATCTGCTAACATTTCCAGTACCTCCAAAAAAGGTGCACCAGCTGAGCACCAAGCATGCAACCTATGAGCCTTTGTGGGACAGTCAAACCATAACAATGTGACTTTAAATGTGGGGACGATTTAAGAAATGAAAACAAATTTCAGCACTTAAACTAACTCTTCTGCTTAAAGAAGAGTTTAAACTGCTATGGTACATTATCTCAATATTGGCACTATCAACATTTTTTGGGGGCCAGAGAATCCGTGGCTGTACGGTGGCTTCCCTGGACACTGGAAGTTGTTCAGCAGCATGCCTGACCTCTACTTGCTGATATTAATAGTCCTCTCCTGTTGCGGCAACTAAACAGACCTCCAGAAACTGTGAAATGACCCTGGGGGCAAGGGACAAAACTGTCACTGGGTTAAGAACCACACTTAAGGTTTATTGAAGTTTCAATCATAATCAAGAAATATTAAAATGCAAATTCTACCTCTAGGGATTTGGTGTTTCTTCGTTGATTTATCCAACAATTAATTATTCCATAAGTACCATGCACAATATCCAGCAATAAGTGTAGAGAACAAAACATGGAGGATACAAAGAGCATGTTCTCAAGAGCTTACCTTCTATGGGAAGCCAAATGAAAAAGACACAGGCAGTGGAGGAAGTCCCTGGATGGGGAGACAAGAGGGAGGTGAGATAAGGCTGGCCAAATCTGTCATAGAGGCTAGCCTTTGGGGAGTCCAAACACTAGCATGGTCAAAAGATACAGAAAAGAGATTCAGGGGGCTCCCAGCTTCACCTCACTTAACCTCACTTGGCAAGCTGGGGGGAAGTTTGGTAGTATTTTCGTAAGGTGGATTTCTAATAATCCCAATGTATCAAGTGTGTTCATCTTTCCTTCCTCTACAACTGGTACATTTATTTAGTCATCTTCATAAAGTTCAAAACTTAATTTTGTTTATAAAAAAGAAAATTAATGTTCTATTTTGTGATTTCAAAGGATGATCCCTTCTTCGGAAGAGCTACATGCAGCTAAAGAAAAATTTCAGCCTCGTTTTTGGAACAAGAATGATTTGTGCAGAGGTGAGTTTTAGCTCTCGGGCAGGAAAGAGCAGACACAGGGATTGGGATCAGGGTTCATTACAGTGCAGCGTGTGATTTGTCCAGAATGTTCTAGAGGCAGGGATTTCCTTGTCATTGCTAGAGGTAGCAAAGAATGAGGTTGAGGACATGACTATATGGTCACACTAGCTGAACATAAAGCATTGAAAGATTTTATTTCAGCTCCACTTAAATTTCCTCGTCCACTATATTTTTTTAAGTTCACTAAACTTAAAACAATATATAATTAACCTTCTGACACCTAGCACAAGATAAATTAATCCTCAGACAGTGGAGATAACTATAATGTGTAAAGTAAATAAAAGAGAATGTCCCAAAGAATCAGGGAAGGATATTTTACCCCTTAACGTCCAGAAGAGTATCCAATGGATTATATAGACCCTTGCGTCACTTCTCTCCACATTTTTTTTTTCTTTTCTGGTCTGAATCGTACCTTGTCTTGGGCAGGAAAAATATTAAGACGTGGAGTTTTTGATGGAGAAAGCAAGAATGTTTAACCTGAAAAAAAGTGTGTAGAAAAGAATGCTTGTTGAGAATTCTATCATGTTTTAATCAACACATTGTATGTTTAGTGGGATACTGCGTGACATTTCAACATTACAGTATGAATGATCTCACAAGGGTAATTTGCATACATATCATTGTGTGAGTTACTACTGAGTCACCGTGACTGTCTTAGTCAGGGTCACTATTGCTATGATGAAACACCATGACCAAAAGCAACTTGGGGAGGAAAGGGTTGATTTCAGTCATACTTCCGTATAACAGTTCATCAAAAGCAGTGAGGCAGGAACTCACACAGGGCAGGAACCTGGAGGCAGGAGCTGATGCAGAGGTCACAAAGGGGTGCTGTTTGCTGCCCTGCTCCTCATGGCTTGCTCAGCCTGCTTTCTTATAGAACCCAGGACTGCCAGCCCAGAGATGGTACCACCCACAAGGGGCTGGGCCCTCCCCCATTGATCACCAAGAAAATACCTTACAGCCAGATCTTACAGAGGCATTTTCTCGATTGGGTCATCTTTCTGATGACTCTAGTTTATGTCAAGCTGACATAAAACTAACCAGTTTAGTGACCAAATAGTAAGTTGTGGTTTGTTTGTTGTTGTTGTTGTTTTCCTAAATGGATGATACATCTTTTCATGGTTAATTTTTAATTCATTTGGAATTCTGAGAGACTGTAAGCAGGCATCTGTTAACAGTTTTTCTAATAAAATTAACTGTGCCATCACTACCTCCTTACTGGTCCTCTATTTCTCCTTGGTTACTAAATGCTGTGTGTACCTAGGTCTCTACTGGGCTGTTGTCTCTTTCATTAATTTTGTGATTCCCCACACTAGTTGTGTGCTGTTATACTATTTTATAGTAAAATGTAATACTCAAGAGAGCTAATTCATTTTATTACTATTCAGACTATTCCTGATTGTGTTTGCATGTTTATTCTTCTATTTGAATATTAAAATCAAGTCTGAAAGTAGTCTGGTTTGGGTAGAAATTTTGTGCACGGCATCTTTAAAACAGTGAATCTTTGTGTGCAAGAACACAGTATGACTTTTCATTTGGTCTGGCCTTCTTTTGTGCCTGTGAATAGGGTTTTTATCCTTTTCTTTTTCTTTCTTTCTTTCTTTTTTTTTTTAAGACCTTGAACCTTGCCAACTAATTGTAATGAGACACCATGGTGAAATGTTTATAAGCAAGGACTCTGGAGCCAGACTGCTTGGATAACACCTACAATACTTTCTGGCCATGTGGCTGCATAAATTTCATCTCTCTAGTCACCTCAGGTTTTAATCTCTAAAATGGAAATGATGAGCTAGGGGATATATCTCAGTTGGTAGAGTGCTCATCCAGCATTGGCAGACCCTGGATCTAATTCCTCTAATGAATTAAAATACAAGTGACAGGATTTACATTACAAGATGGTTGGGAAAACTAACCAGATTTCTTGTGAGGACTTAAAGGGATTATTTACGGAAATCACTTTTTTTTTTTTTAAGTGTACTTGATTCAGGCTAGGCATGGCGCAAGACCACACCTTCAGCTTGGGAGGGTAAGGTGGCTTCAAGATCATTCTGAGCTACAGAGTAGATTGCCTTGAAAAAAAAACAAGCAAGCAAGCAAAAGGCAAGAAAGATGACGAGGCTGGGTCCTTATGATCAGTGTGATCATAACAACATGGGAAGGACTTGGCAACCAGAACCAACGGCTAACAACCAACAGAGAAACTGTTAGCGAGCGGTTTTCAATCGTACAACATTTGGAGGACAGTTTTCATATGTTTATCCCTGGGACCTGGAAAATCCGGTTTGAAATGCATTAATTATCTGGGAAAGACACTAGAATGAAGACAACGCAGGATCTGATTTGCAGTGGGACAGTTTTCGGGTTATCCTCTGTGCTGCACTCTGTCGGAAAGAGGGAGAAATTCTACACCGTTTATCTCAATAAATCCTATCTGCAGGTAGGGCAGGCTACAGCTAGGACAACGCTGTGCCTGGTAAATAACTGGCGCTCAGTCACTTAGCAGGGGAAGCAGATCTTCGTCATTTGGGGCTGCACAGTACTCTTGTTTGAACTGGCTGTTCTTTAAGGAATTTATGGAAAACAGTATGGCTTAGCTGTGAACATGGGACCAGTTGACAAAAATATCGATGCCTACTGCTTCAGATCTGTCCCTGGACAGAGGCTGGTTTCATTTTTTTCTTGTTGCTATGATTTCTTTGTTTTGTTTTGTTTTTCCAGACAGATTTCTTTGTGTGACAGTCCTGGTTATCCTGGGATTCACTCTGTAGACCAGGCTGGCCTCGAACTCACAGAGATCCACCTGCCTCTGCCTCCCAAGTGCTGGGATTAAAGGCGTGCGCCACCATGCCCGTCCCACTATGATTTTTAAAGGCCCTGGCAAAAGCAGCTTGGGGGAAAAGGACTTGTTGTACGTCTTGCTATGCCCAGATCGCAGGGATTCCCCAAAAGACCACAACGGAGACCGAATCCCGTACGTAAAAGCAAAGAGCCTTTATTTTCAAGCTCTGGGCTTGGTCTCTGTCTGTCTGTCTGATGCAGGGGTGAGAGAAGAGAGCCTTGAGCCCAGGCAGGGTAGAGATTTTATCATAGCAGAGGTTGGGGTGAGGGGATTTCCAGGGTTCGGGATCCTGATTGGCTGACATTTGTCTAGGGATATCTGGAAAACAGAAAATAGCTGTGTGCTAGACTCAGGGACATCTGGCCATCTTATCTAACCTTATCTAACGGTTGGAATGTTTGAGATGTCAGGTACTTCCCCTTAGAGGTAGGCCCTCCCTGGGTGGGATCAGCTTATGGCTTTTCTTGGGTCTGGGTGTTGCCTGCCAGTAATCCTGTCACAGAAGCTTTGTCTGGGCCTCTAAGCCTGTCGTGGCAGCTGTGTGGTCGAGCTGTTTTGCACCCCCCTCCCCCACAGACTCAGTTCGGGGGGTATAGTCCATTATGGCAGGGAAGTCATGGGAGGAACTTGGGGAGACAACTGGTCAAATTACCCCTGCAGCCAGGAAGCAGAGAACAGTGAAATCTCACGATCAGCTAGCATCTCCTTTTATACAGTCCAGGACAGGACTCAAGTCCAGGACATGGCACTTCTTCTTAGGATGGATCTTCCCACTAACTGAACCTAATCAAGATTATCCCTCAAAAGTCTGCCCAGAGGTTCATGTGATAGAGATAATCCCTCACAGGTGTGCCCAGATATTCGTCTCCTAGATGATTTCAGATCCTTGGAGCTGACAATATTAATCATCACACTATCTCATAATACACTTGTACTGAATCATATTTAATAGAAAATAATGAAGATAACATAGATATCTATTAGTTCAAAGACTAGTTAGCTATCTCCCAAAAAATACTTATGAGTTATCAGAAAGAAAAAGTCAGAAATGAAATTACATCTATGATGCATTAATTATTATGCATGTTTTGAATGGTACATTTAACACACAAGTGTCCCTGTATATTCATGGGAAATACAAAAATAATGTGAATCATAAATCATATTTTACTTCTGGAGAGTGTGATGGTCTAGAAAGGACAAGGCATTTGCAATATTTCTGTGCTTCCAAATATCTCAATGTTGAATTGTTAATGAAATGACTTTAATTAGAATTCAAATAAGGTTGTCTTCAGTTTTCAGAAATGCTTGACCTCATTAGAAATGCAAGCAACCCTGGAGCTTGCTCCCTAAGGCTATTATACTGTAAATGATAACGTAATTTAATTGTCAATTCCTCTAGGGAATATTTGATTCAGACAATACTTATCAGAGAATGTCTACTGCGCAAACTGTCTCTCATCTTTCCTTTAGTTATAGTATTAGCATCGGAGTGTCTAAGGATCATTAACGTGACTGATTGATACCGGGCTATATTAAGCTTGAATGAGAACCCCTTTGTTCCTCCTACCCCTTCTCAAGGCCCTTGGGTATAAGAAGTTCATGAGGCACCTAGCCTCTTTACCAGCCTTGCACTCTTCCACAAGTTACTTATTCCTGAAGAAAACCCAGAACCAAGGTGAAAAGTGGAGCATCGCTTCTTCGCACGCACAATGAAGACGTGTTTCCTCAATTTAGAGTAGAAGTTACTCAGTATTTCTTGTTTTCAGCTGAGGTGTTTATCACCAAGCCCAGGAGAAACAAGAATAATCTCATTTGTCTGCTCAGTGCCATCCTCTCTGTGTACTGTGGGATGTCTTTCTGTACGCTGTGAATATGATTGGTTGATAAAGCCATTTGGCCTATGGCAGGACAGGATGAAGCCAGGCTGGAAAATCCAAGGGAGATAGTGAAAGGAGAAAGGAGAGGAAGAGAAAGACTCCATCTCACCGTCCAGGGAGCAGCATGTAATGGCACACAGGTAAAGTCACAGAACACATGGCGATACATAGATTAATAGAAATGGGCTGAGTTTAGTTATAAGTACTGTTAGTAAGAAGCTTGAGCCATAGGCCATGGCCACATACTTTGTAATTAATATAAGCCTCTGTGTGTTTATTTGAGTCTGAGTGGCTGCAGGACTGGGCGGGACACAGGAAAACTTCTGACTACAGTGTACTGCCACTAGTTCTGATCCTGTGTATTCATCATGCTTTTGCCTAGTACCACGACATATCAAATAAAAGACTTCTTTAGTATTCGACATTCTTAGAAAATGTAAATGTACACATGGACTGGGTAAGTAGCGTCTGTAGTACGTCTGCAATTCCTCTCTACATGCTGATTCTTTCTACTGTAATCCTCATAATTACTCCCAATGTGCTTATTCAATCCTCTTCCTGATGACCTCAGAAGAGCACTCATTTTCTGGTATTCTGGATAAACAAAGAGCAAAGGGCAGAATGTATTCCCAGCAATGAATGTGGACCTTTCTTATTTTAACTCATTATGAAATAGATTCAGACATTGCCAAATTTTATCATTCTTCTAGTCTCAAGATATGCTCCAAGAAGCTCTTACTTTCAGGAAGGCTAATTGTTAGAAACTGAGACACTACCTTAAGTAAATTCCTACTTGCGAAAGTGTTTTGAACCTGCAAACTTACAAGTTCCCTGCCAGTTCCTACAAGCTTTCACTTGAAACTGCAAATGCTCTCTCTTGCTAGAAACAAGCGGGACATGTTTTCCCCCAAGTTTCATTAAAAGAGTTCACCAGCCCATGTGCCCTCTACAAAGCCTTTCACTTTGTTTGCAGGACCTTATAAAAACACCAAATATCATTTTAAAATGTTTAAAATAATTGACCTTTCCAGATCCTTTCAAAGTGCATGAACTTATAAACACACTAAGGAACCCTACAGCAAAGATGTAAGCAAAGTGAGTCTCCCAGAAAAGAACTGGACTGAACCTAATTTGGAAGCAACTTAAGACAACACTGGAAGATAATCAACGTACTTTAGCAGTAGTTAAGGTCAACAGTAAAGGACATTTCCAAACCAGTGTGGCTTCTCTAAGGCAATCATTTATTAATGAAGGTAGCATTTCTATTCTTTAATATTTTTAAGTTTCCATCTTCTAAGTTAGATAAATAATGCACAAGGGAAAAACTGAAAATGAACCACTTATTTTGTTCATCAAAAATTAATTAGTATTATTTTCTGTCTCTGTTCTCTTGCTGACTGAGCTTGCTACCCTGAAAGTCAGAAATTAAATCAACACCATGGATGGATTAATTCATATCCCATCTTAAATTTCTCACCTGCTCCTAATGTTAACACCTTAACATGAGGATTAAATTTCACTATGGGTACTGGGGAGAACCTTCAAACCGTGGAGTATTCTCATAGGCAAAATTCTAAAATAATATTTTATTTCCTTGTCAATATTCCAATTTTAATATTGCCTTTTAACTCAACTTGTCATAAAAGACTAGAAATGAATGAACAGGCTCACAGTGATTCCTATAGATGATGATGTCTGGACTGTTTAACTTTGGAAATGCATCAGTGACCATCACTTAGAAATATGCAAAGCTTCCTAGAGGGTGGTCCACACAACATCAACTTTAAACTGAAAATTCCTGAGCTTTGCATCAGAATAAAGAACCCAAAGGCACAGTGTTATGGTCTAGGTAATCAACAACCAATCCAGCTGCTTTATATGCTCTTAAATACCCCATTTTTCAGTTTGCCATCTTAATTACAAATATTATCTACAAGATTTAGTAGGCCCGCAAAGCAGATGTAGTACACTAAAACACTTTTACAATACAGTAGACATAAATTTAGAGAGATTTTCAAACACTAGATAGCAAATTCTGATGAGGAAACAGTTTGATGAACAGAACTAGCTTTAGACACAATTTTGGCTTCCAATGTAAAGTACAAAGCCTCTTTTTAGTTTTAGAATTTGATTTCCACTTTTTCAGCTTTTCTACAAGTCCATGTTTCACAATCAGCAGGTCTTTCTCCACTGAAAGCTATCTTACCTCCCACTAGACAATTGTGTGTGTGTGTGTGTGTGTGTGTGTGTGTGTGTGTGTGTGTGTGTGTGTGTGTTGGTCAGATACAAGAATCTTGCCAAGTCTTTTAGTAGAAAAGTAAAGAGTTTAGATATATAGACATATCCACTTATCCATCTATTGGTTCATTAATCTAAGGTAAATTATCAGTAAGTGTCAAGAATTAAGATGGAAAAATGAGTTTGATATATGGTACAATATATTCATAAGAAAAATTATCCAAAACTTAAAATATTAAGAACTAGCATATTATCTCAAAGACAGGGCATCATTTAACCCTATCTGAGCATCATTGAATTCTCTAGGAGAATGTGTCCATGTTGGTGCTATCTGTGTTAATTAACGGATTGGATTCTATGAAGTTACACGTTAACCAATAGATCTATTGGTATACAGAGGTCAAGAGTGCTGAGAAACATTCTAAAACATAGAACTCTCCTATGGTAATTCTCTGGCCTGGAAAGGCGATAGTACTGGTATTGAGAAACTCTGTTCCGAAAGATCAAAGCTGCCTGCTGGGGAAGTGAGGAGGCCTTTGTCCTGCAGGGTGGAGAGTAGCTTCAGTGGTTTCCGCCTGGGGGTGGAGGGCATCAGTGAGGAAAGGCTGAGAGAGCCAAGTTTTCAAGTTTAATAGTTAAGAATGGCAAACAAAGTTATTGCTCAAGAGGTAAGGCAAGGCAAGTGGAAATTTTGACAACTTGTGGTAGCAAAGTATTTCAATGAACTTGAATCAAATGAAAATTCCAGTTTCCATTTAGAAGTATGATTGCCTTACATACGACAACCTAAGTCACTGTAGCACGGTATGATTTTACCATTTCGGCATCTTAAAGAGGAAGAAAAATGGTTCTATTTTGTAAACATTTAGCAAAGGAAAATAATGAAGTTTCTTAGCATCTAAAGCAAGTTCTCAAAATTAAATGTGTAACAGAAATCTTTTAAGTGACTATACTATGACTTGATTAGTAAAGCCTTGCTGTATTTCTAAATGTAAATATCCAAATTATCCACGCTAGTTTATTGACCACAGTCCACTACTGAAGAAGACACTTGTTGAGTTACACTTTCTGCTCTAGGAGATGACTGGATGGCTATCCACTGTGTACAGCAGAAAGGTTCACCCTGGCTACTTCAGCTGGGGAAATGAGAGGCTCACAGCCAGTGAGGGAGTAAACGTGAAGTCATTACTATCAGGACTGCCTTCCTTTTTATTTTTAAGGAGGGTTGAGGGCTGTTTTGTTGCATGAGAGAAAGTCAAAGCACCCTGTGCTCAATGAGCTCCTTTGCTGGAAACCCCGCAGAGCCTGTGGCGGGCACAAGGACGACTTCTGTCTGCACCAGCTGGGAAGCAGATGCCATAGAATCAGAGTGCAGTTCTTCTCTCCTTGGCCACAGGCAGTTTCCAGCTGCTACTGCCACTACCTTAGTTTTGTAAATGGGATCAGCCAAGGCCACTGCACACGGATAAGTGATTCCCTGACATCAGTTCTCTGTTGGAATGCGGCAAAACCCATGCTGGATGCTATCACACAGATTATAAAGGATTTTATGAGCTTGTGTAGGAAACTGATCATCATTTGTGGCACAAGTTTCATAATTTACATCTCCTGTTCTAAACAAACTACAGTGGATATGTATGTAACAAAATACATATGGATTGTTGATTGATTTTATGAGACAGACTTCCTTCTGAAATTGCTCCACTAGGAGGTTTCAGTTTTCATCATTTTCTGGATGCACATCCAGAGATGTAAATCCAAATATGCATATTAATTATAATGACAGAAATGTCCTTTTATGAGCTTCAAAAGTCTTTTAAAGTTTATTATTTAAAAAGAGACACTTGAAAATAAAAAACATTTCACAACTGAGATGAACCAGACCCCAAGTCTATACACCTCAGTGAACGTCTATACAGTCAGACAGTCTCTCTGAAGCTGTGGAGCTCCTCATTGATTTTCCCATCTGAAGGGTTTACAACACGCCCCCCACGGTCCCATTTACCAGGCGGACACTTCCGCCTAGCCCTTTCCGGGTCAAAGCGTCTCTCGTAGCCAGGATACCCAGCGGACCCGGACATCTCCGCCTAGCAAGTTCCGGCCAAGGCATCTCGCGTGACCAGAATCTGTGATGTTACATGGCTACGTAAGCGCGCTACGTGACCATGTGATCTACGCACATGCGTGGAGTAGTGACGTGACCTGGCCACGCCCCCAGCCGGTTTTTAAAGCGGAGCGCCATATTCCCAGTTCTCTCTTCTCTCCTCTTCCTCTTCTCCACGCACGTGTCTCTCCCACAGGCCTGCGCACTCTCTATCCCTGTACTTCTAATAAACTCTTATAAGCAGATTCTGTCGTGTTTCGTGACGTTTCCTTGCAGGGTAAGAACACAACGCAGCTAAATAACTAACACCATCTCACCAACAAACACGTTTTTAGGCACTTATCACCACCACCAACAAAAACTCCATGACAAAGTTAGAACTGGAAAAACAATTACCTTTATATCCTTCCTCATAACTCCTGTCCATCACCTGCATCCAGTCTTCCACATGCCCTAGTATTAAGACTTTCTTGATCTCTTTTCTTCGTGTTATACTGTACATTGTTAAACAAGATGCTTTAACAATGGTTGGCTAATTAATGAGTCTCTAACGTAACCTTACTGATCTGTTCTACCAACAGATTTATATGGCAAAGTGTTTGGGTTTTTTTCCCCTAACTCCTAAACAATTTCTTTAAGGATGTCTGCTCCGAAAAGGGAAATCATTTTTCTTTTCGTAAGCTGAGGAAAGTGGAGCCACAATGCAGTTTTGCAGCAGAATATTGAATGACCTCTTCACTAGTCAAGGATTAATAAAAAGGAATCTTTTGTTGTACCTATTGCAAGTAAACATTTTCATTCACATGTAGTCTTAACATTATTTTTTTTTCTGACGAATTTTCAACTTTATTTGATTCTAGCCAAATGATGAAACTAACCTTGGCTTACCAAGGACGTCCTTCAACATTATCTCTCAGGCTGGAAGAGTGAAGGGGGGTTGAGCCACTCTTCTTAGATCTGTTTAATTCCCCTTTAGAGTGCTCTGAATCCATGTGAGGAGATGACTCAAAAACTCTTCGATTTGTAAAGAAACCCCCTGGAGTACCCTAGAAAAACATATGTCAGCCACTGGGTAAGGTGAGTATCAATCCAGCCAGGTACTGTTCATGGCTTCTGAGAACACTTTGTTTTTTAAATTGAATGAAAGTGTTTTTCTATGTGAAAATAGAAAGTATCTAATAAGAATTCAGTATCTTTATAAGGCAGTTACATTTTCAATAAATTGACTCAGTTTTCAATTGCTAAATAATGTATGCATGTATGTCTGGGTGTTGGAAACTTGTCACTGATACTTATTTAAAATGTTATTTGGTATTCTTTCAGTACAGGAATAGCGGGCAACCATTTTGCTGTATTTAAGTAAATAATAATTTCTTTCATTAACCAATTAGCCTTCGGATAATATTTAAGAACTATAACTGTGCACATATTTTAAGAGCTCTTGCTTTGGAGTTCCAATGTAACCACAGTTATAGTTTCAGGAATTTTTCTTTTGTAATTTCCTAGTGTCTTAGAGATACCCTAAAAATTATAAAAAACAATTAATTAATTAATTGGGCACATTAATATTTTTCCTTTTTTCCCCCAAGCTTCATTCCTAATCTAATCTAAACATGGTGAGGACAGATTTACATCTGTGGCCTACAGTGCTAAGCCTAGAGTGTTACCCTTCATCAGTTAATACATGCTCAGAGCTAAGAGTTAAGTTCTTTTCTTCTAACAAAGGCAGTGAGCACAGAATCCTAAATAGCTGAAGTGGGTAACTCCAGCCCCAAGGGACCCAACCCCTCTTCTAGCCTCTATGGGCAGTGCACACACACTATACACAGAATACTTTTGGGCAAAACATCCATAAAGATAAAATAAAAATCAAGAAATCTTTCAAAGAATGAATCCAGAAAACTGGGTGTAAGGCTCAACAGATGTCTTCCCCAGCAATGAAATGTTCCCTTCATCCCAGCCTAGAGGTGAAGGCGGGTTGCTGTTTTAAAATAGGAGTTGGGGACTTCATAATTGTGCTTCTTACAGTTATAGTTCAGCACTGTTTACAGTGAAGTTCAGACTGTGAAATTTTCACATGTGAAAGGGGAAAATCATGGATGTGAGTTATATAGATGCTCTCAACCCTTGAGTTTTACAATAAAATTCCTATCAAATTTCTAACAAAATGAAAAGACTATCAGGTCAAGGAAATAGAGGCAGCATACTTAATTATCTTCTAACCAAATAGTTCATTTCTCTCAATGGTCTGTTCACTGGATAATGTCACAGGTGATTACCAAATTGGGACTAATTGTGCAAGGAACCATAGAACAGTTATCCATATGATATATTGATGTCGGTTACAGGATTAAAACTTTGTCGTTTCAGTATTTTCAGAAAATAAAACGACTAAGATAAAACCTAAGAAACAAAAAATACAAACCACTGACACATTTTGTAAATGCTTCCCTCCCCCCAAGTGTATATACTACTTTCAAAGAAGTGTTTCCAACATGTTTCAAAAAGAAAAATAAAAAGTGCATGCTGTGCCTGGCCCCGAGAAACAAAGGTAACAGCTACCTTCCTTGTCTGGAGGATGCGCACAGCATCGGAACACAGTGGCCTCGAGCAAGCAGTAATTACGGACCAGGCTCGGGAGGTTTACTGCAAGACAGCAGAAGGCGTTTTATATTCCCTTAAACTCTCTATCCTTTCACAAAAGTTTTAATGCATGAATGAATCCTTAGGGGCAAGGAGAATGTGTTGGATAGCTTCTCAAGGGAGGGAGATTAGCATGGATTTGCTTTACCCAAGTGGCAAGGAACAGGGCGTTCCGGTATGAAAAGAACACAGCTTATGGAGAGATGGTGGGGTGGTTCGTCTCCAGAGGATAATAACTGGTGAAAGCAGTGTGGGAAAACTCGGAAGAGTAGGTGGAGGCACATTAGGAAGAGAAGGTCCCAAATGATTGCAATTGCTGTACTGACTGTGAATGGCAGCAACTATAAGATTCAGAGTGTTTGCTGGGTTTTCATTAGATGCTTTTTAAAACAATCGAACAGCCCTAGGAGATGTGGAGAAAGTTACCTACCTTTTTAATGCTATCCCTAACATTGTCTAACAAACACATTCTCTCTCAATTTGATACTTAAATTTAACTGTCAGATTAATAGCTATTACCTACCTATGAGTTTCTACATCTTAGATAATTTTTTACTGCTTTAAGGAATAAATCGAGGGCATTGCAGGCTAGTGGGAACAGGCGTTAGGAACATCGGACTAGTCTAGCTGCGTTATCCCACTTCTGAACGCAAGGATCAAGTCAGTACCCCACCCCACCCCACCCCGCCCACACCCCTGCCATCTTTCTCTTCCAGCTGACTTGGTAGGCCCCTCTCAACCATAACCCTCGATTTTATACAGTCTCTTTTGAGCTGTGTGTCAGGATGCAGTCATGAACTGATGGGCACCTGGGAAGAGTTATTTTGTTTTGTTTTGCGTTATTGAGAGTAATGTTTCTCCTGTACCCACATCTTAAAGAAGAAACACCACCCTGTAAGACAGGTTTACAGCATATCATATCATGGCTAAATGAAGCAATTGGCATTAGACTGTAACATATTTACAAATCACAATGGGGTAAAAGTAGTTCTTAACTATTTGGGATACGAAGTATTAATCTGTTCTCTACTTTTTAAAGTCTCTCTCTGTGTGTGTGTGTGTGTGTACAATAAACCTTAATTTTTTTACAGCAGAGGTGCATCTATTTTAATTCTCTTAAGTACCTGGTGGGGACTTTAGTAATTAAAACTGTCTTCAACAAGCCAAAGTTTAAGCCAATCATGTTCCAAGTGAGAGGGACTTGTGAGCAGTTTTTAAAAGTCTGACGGGGTTATCATTACACAAACCGCGGAATGTGAAGCTGGGCAAAACCTTCAACGCCAGCCATCTAAGAAGACCGGTTTCCGAACTAAAGGCGACTCAAAACAGCGGCGATCATTAAAAGGCAACGGGAGTTGAAGGGACACCTAGGAATTAGTGCAAGAGGTGAGGTCTGCAGAGAAGGTTCAAAGCTGTGCCCCAAAGGGGGGGTCAGCTAAGGGCGACGGGAGGACTTGGAAGCGATCGGTGGCAGTGACGGGCCAGGGGACACGCAGGGTGGAGGGCGACCGCGGCCTCCGGGCCGGCCTGCGGCAGGACGCTCCTCCGCAGGGCTCAGCTTTCCCCGCCCGGGGCTGAGCAGCGCCGGCGGGAGGAGGCGGGAGCCCGGGGCCGCTAGCGGCTCCTCCCCCGGCGCCTCCGCTATCTGGGTCAGACGCGCAGGCCGCGGCGCCGGACCTCGGGGACCGCGGACTCCGGGGCTCCCGTCGGCTCGCCCTTCCCCGCTCGTCCGCCCGCCGGCCCCGGTCCCTCCGGCTCCGGTCCCAGAGAAGCCCTCGCCGCGATCCCAGGTGCGTACCCAGCCGGGGAAGGGGGCGACCAGCCTGGCTGGCTGGCTCCGCCGGCCCCGGGGGCGCGCGGAAGAAGGCGAGGGCACTTCCGGCGGCGGCTTCACTTCCGGGTCGTGGCCCGGCGGCCGCGGACCCGGCTTGGTGCACCGTCTTGGCAGAGCCGGTGGCCCCGAGCGGTGGTGCGGTGATCCACCCACCCCACCCCTGGACCAGGCGACCCCCGGAGTGGACACCGCGCCTGTGCATCGGCCTCAGCCTCGCGCCAACCTTGTTTTCTCTCGGCGTGCTTCCCGCACTAATAATAATAATAATAATAATAATAATAATAATAATAATAATAATTCTCTGCCTATTTTCTGCAGACATGGAAACCAGCCTAATCGCACTACTAACATGTGCAAATAAGCTGAATTCTAAGGGGTCCCAAATTTCAATTATAAATAAGGAGAGGTTTGGAAATCTAATGAATTATGAGTGTTAGAATTCAATTGGAAAGTGCTGCTGGGTTTTCCGCATCGCTGTACATGATCTGCTTAATATTTTTTTTTACCCCACAAGGGGTCAGAACGTTTCCTTTGGAAACTTGAAGCGGATTTGTAACCTATCATGTTTCTTGACCTTCTTAGTAGTTTTTCCTTTCTCTGGTTTGTTGGTGACAGCATTTATGTCTTCCCCCCGATTCTAAGGATCAGCTGATGAGTTGGTTATGAACGCAACTTAAGACCTCGCTCTATAAACATTCTAATTATATGGAGACACAATTTTAATATCCAGAGATGAAAACCAGGACATAAACATGAAGTTTTTCTTTTAAAATCATTTCATGTCCTAGTTTACTTGGAGGTCAACATTTTATCGTTTCTCTAGCATTGTGTCACTAGGAGATTCTCCGCTAATAACCATTGATCACGTGTTGTATTAATTTTAGGTAATTTATACAAATATAATGTCCATCATTTCCCATCATGAGTGATTTACAAATGGGAGTTTGTAAAATAATTTTTTTTGCATCTGAAACGCAAATCTCGCATCTTAAAATGAGTTGTAAGATCTGCTCAAAATTTTAATTGTTTTCTCTATAATCGGTACAAGAATATACTACTATAAGCAAAAGTACAAAAACGATATAATTTTATACTACCTTTTAAATTACACTGTGGGCAAGCACAGATTCTTATTTACGACTTTGGTACTTCCCTCTCACAGCCGTATCATTTTTCAGATTATTGGCACAAAAACACACACACCGGGATTTATTCTTGCTTGTACCTCAGTATTTTTGTCCAGTGTTACTTTTCCAATTACCGACATAGAAGCACCTTGTAGCATAAATGCAAACACTCTGACGGATAAGTTTCTAACGCTGAGATTATTAACCAAATGCCGCCTCTGTTCCTTCTAGTTCTCTGATGACATTCATAGTTCTGATGTCATATTTCACCTCTGAACATGTCTGCTTCCGTCAGCATTCTCCTTTGCGTCCTTGCTTGATGCTTTCTGATTCCGCATGCAGCTAGATGTCTCTAGGATTTAGGAAACAGGAACCCAGGGGTAACCTTGCTCACTTCTTTAGTCAGATACCCTCTGGGTAAATGACAGCAGTTCGTTTGTCTGAAAAATAATAGTGGCGTTACTGTTTTGAACTCCTTCAAAGAGATAATTTGAAACCTGTGAGGTACCTTTTAAAAAAAAGGTGAAAGTTTGGCTGTTTCTCATGTGTTGAAACCTGAGTCTGTCTGGGAGATAAAGTCTTTCTCTTCATCAGACTTTCACGTCTGTTTATTAACTTGTTAAATGAAAAAAAAAAAAGCTTTCAGATGTGTGTGTGTGTGTGTGTGTGTGTGTGTGTGTGTGTGTGTGTGTGTGTGTGTGTTTCATAATGTAAAGTTCAAGGCTGGCCTGGCAGGACTGTGCCAAAGAACTAAGTCATCATTGGAAAATTCCTATTAGGCTTTAAGATGGACATGTGGACGTTCTTTGTTAGTGTGTGGGTGTGGATGCGAATTGGGGGAGAGCAGAGAATGAGTGTTGTTGCAGATCTGATGCTAGACCTCATGAATGCTAAACAACAGCTGCGCTATTGAACTGTTTCCTACCCCAGTGTATTTATTCATCAGTGAAAAACAGAAACAAATTTTAGCCTCAAGGTGATTAAGTTCGATGCATGATTTACCTGTAATATAAATGTATGTCATGGGTATGTAGTAGCTTTTTTATTTCTATTGCTTTTTTATGGTAATCTTTTGAGGTAATTTAGTTTTATGATATAACGTTTGATGGAACTAAACAATAGTAATTATCAACAACCTCACCTGTTACGAGTCCCTTAGATTCTGCTATTGCTCTGTCTCCTGGATGAGTAGGAGTGAGCATTTAGTTCCATTTACAGTTCCTTATATCAATTAGTTCAGAGGATATTTGGGTTGAAAAGAGAGAAAGAAAAGAAAGGAAAAAATGGTAAATGCTCTGCCATCAGACAGGCCGGATTAAGCACCAAAGGTCGTCTCTGGAATTGGTTAAGAGAGGCATTTTAAACTAGTCTCTCAGAGGTCATAATCTGAGGTGATTTCTGAAAGACCTTTTTTGTGTGTGTTTGATGAGATAGAGCTTCCAAGCTGGATAGTAACTGTTGTCCATGCATATACTATAATGTAATAGGACTTTTTTTTTTTACTTTAGTGTGTGTGTGTGTGTGTGTGTGTGTGTGTGTGTGTGTGTGTGTGTGTGCGCAGACACTTGCAGGAGTTGTTTCTTTCTCTTTGCCAAGGGGGTCCTGGGGATTGAACTCAGGTCATTGGACATCAAGGCAAGCACCCTTACCCGCTGATCCATCTCATCTATAATAGGAATCTGAAAAGGAACTTTCTTTTAAGCAGATACTTGGAAATAGATTCCTGCTCTCCCCCACCCCCTTCCATGGGTCATTTAAAGCATTATATCTAGTCGGCCATGTAGTTAGTGTACAGGAAACAATAGTAGCTTGCTAGACTATGTAGAATAATAGGGTTCTAGCCATAGGATGCAAGATTTCGGGTATACAGCCTAATTCAGGATTGATGTCTGTCTAGTATTCTGCCCTGGCATTCACTCCCGGCTGTTTTGGACAAGAAGCAATCAAAGAGAACGTTCACAGACTCCTACATCTACCCACTTAACCTGACTTTCTGCTCATGTAATCTGCCTTTTTCTTTCGTTACTCTGAAGCAGTGGTCTGTGTTCCCCTTAAAGGTCAACCTTGTGCACATGCACTAGAGACCATCTCCTTTGTTTGTGGTTGTACAATTCTCTACTGTTTCTTCTACTTCACCAGCTTCGCTTTTTCGTGGCATCTTTCGTATTGGAAAATAAAGTTTGTCTTGATCTTTTGGCACTGTTTCTCTATGCAATATTTGTATTTACCCATCCCTTAGTCCAGGGTTCATTCCTTCCTTTGGACTCAGTGAATGTCTTTAGTATTCCGTTACACACACACACACACACACACACACACACACACACACACACGCACACACACACACACACACTCGTTTACCTATACCTTTATGGACTTCGGACTTGCCCGTACTTTGGACTGTGGCCCCGCCTCTTGCTTTCTGGGTCTGTTATGTACCTATAGTGTGTTGCTGTCACTTGGGCTTTAACGGCAGCTACTTTATAAGTAAATATTAAAATGAGAACACTGACTTTCACGCTCGCCCCTCTTGCCACCGCTGGTATGCGGCGTCCTTTGTGCGCGGCCAACTGAACGTGTGTTTGCCTCTGCTTGAAGACCTTCTGTGGCATTTCTTTTAGCGCCTGTCACTGGGTAATAATAACAATCTCAGCTTCTGTTGAACCACAGCAACAACAAGAGCCCCGCCTCTTTTCACCCTTGTATTGGAAGATATTTCCCTGGATGTAGACATTTCAGTGGGCAGGGGTGTTTCCCCCGCCCCGGCCCCCCCCCCCAAGCATGGCGAAGATGTCATTTCGTCGTTGTCTTATTTAAATGGCTCTTGAGGACACAGAGAGTGGCAACCCTTCTCCTCCCCTCTCTCCCTCGCTGACTTTTATGGTTGTTTTTCTCACTCTGCTTGACTCAGTTGACTTTGTTTAGTTCGGGGATTGTTTGTTTGTTCACCTTTTCCCTTCCTACTGTCCTGTCAGCCTTAGACTGTTCATGGTGCCCACTGGCCTGCGTCCCTGTTTTTCCTCACTGCGCTTCATTTAGGGACGATTTTTTATGGCTAAGTCTTCCAGTGCACTGCTTTCGGTGGTTGCATGGAGTTTTTTTCTCTGTCGATTTCATTCCATGAAACTTTTCTTCAGAGATTTTATTTTTTCATTCCTAGAAATTCCAGTCTGGCTTAAAGCTTTCCTTTTTCTCTCCTCATCATATGTATCTCTACCATGAATATATTTTAAATAATTGTTTTAAGGCCTCTGTTTGCTAATTACATCATCTCTGGTATCCTCTGGCTTCTGTGCACGTCTGAAAATTTGTTGCTAGGTGTTGGACAATCTTGTTGAACCCTGCATTTTTTTTCTGTTCATTTATAGGATTAGACACTTTTATCTTCCTGCCAGTTAAATCATTTGTGAATCAATTTATTACTTTGGAGTCTTATTTTTTAAATCCATTTTGGAGGAAGCCCAAACAGCCTTAACTCTAGGGTTCCTTTAGCCTTCCTACCAACACATTGCCCCTTCGAGGTCTCGGTGGAGAGCCTCACATTGTCCCTAAGCCTTCTTGGAAACTTGATCGCTAACCAGCTCTATGTAATCTTTGGGACCAATTTAACCTATAGCTTCCTGGTAGTTATGATTTCCCTTGAAGTTATTCTTTGCCAGCCCCATGGAGTTTAACTGTCTGTTAACTTATCCTCTAGGCTCTGGCACATACATTCTAGATACTTTAGTCTCTGTTGACCCTAAAGTTATCCATTCAGTTCAGTGAGACTGCCTAGTTGTTTGACTATCTCCTTTTTTTTTTTTTTTTTAATTTTCCCATAGTCCAGAAGTTACTTCCAGCTGGGATCCAGGAGTCCCTAGAGGATTCATTTCTTTCTGTTTTGGTCAGGGTTATAGTTAGTAGTGATTTAATTATTTGTTCCTAACGTGGATAGTTTACAACTATTTCTCCCAAGATGTTAGCAAACTTGAACATAAATATATGTCTGATAGAGAAAATTGAAGTAAAATCAAGTTTGGGAGCTTCTAAGTATATTTTTTTTAAGGCTTCAGTATATGTAGTTACAAAAGCTTTCAGTATTAACCTTCTTATTTCTGTCTCACCATCTCAGAAGGGGAGGGGAACATACCAGGGTTTTCATTTAATCCTTTTCTGACTTTAGATCAGCAATGGTATCAGTAAAGATGGGATTTGCTAGAGAGAAATTTTGGTACTTCTCATCAGAGTAGCTGAGTTGATATACAATGAGGTAGGCTATATTTTGTGCCTTCCATGAAGAAGAAAAAAAATGAAAGATGGAGAAAAAACGGAGTCAAAGAAATGGTTTAAAAGTTACTTTTAAAAAGTGATAATTTAAAATAAAAAGGTCTCAGATATAAGTGGAAATGTCAGAAGCAAAGGAATTCTGGGTCAGAAGAAAGATGAAACCTACATGGGTCTTACTGGCTTTCTATGTTGAATGTAACAGAGAGGAGGTGAGTTACGAACTTATCAAAGCGCTGTTTATGTTTCTATCTCTGAGCCCTGAGATTTAAAAACCATCATTAATCACTGATGACTAGTCCCAATGTGATCAAGATGCTCAAAAAGAGCATCATCTCAGCCTTTAATGATGAGCCGTGATAAGAAATCCAGCACATTAATTGCACACAGAATCACAAATTAGGACACCTTGAACTCTTCAATACTTCTCTCAAGCTGATGATACTTTTGCTTCTATTTATCTAGCCCTTTAAGGTGTAATTAAAGGGTGAACTTCAGATTGATTGTAGAGAGTATAAATTCAGAATTAAAGTCAGTATTTCACACTAGACTTCAGTAATAGCCTTGAGCAAATATTTCTCTTGAGGTATGAGTTAAAGAGGCACTTGCTCATAGTGTGGGTTAACTTATGATTTGTCAGGCTTTTGACAAATTGAAAAAGCATCAATATTTTTATCCTGGACAGAGAAACATTGTTTATTTACAGTTTTACTTTTTTTTTTATTTTAGAATATAAAGCCAAGAAATGCGTCATTCCACAAACAAAGAACTGATCCTTGGTATCATGGTGGGAACTGCCGGAATCAGCTTGCTGGCCTTATGGTACCACAAGGTCCGTAAGCCAAGGACAACAATTCATTTGCCTAGATTTCTTTCTCTGGGTAAGAAATTCGATTCACTAACTTGGCGAGATGAAACGCCCAGTGAACAAGGAACATCCGTGGTCTTTCAGAGAAGGCAGCTTCAGATACTGGAAAAGTTAAACGAATTACTGACCAACATGGAAGAACTTAAGGAGGAAATCAGATTCCTTAAAGAAACGATTCCAAAGCTGGAGGAATATCTACAAGATGAACTTGGAGGGAAGGCAGCAGGTCACAAGATCAGTCCGCAGCACCGAGCCAGGAAAAAAAGGTTGACGACGGTTCAACGTGCAGCAACAAGTAATAGTTCAGAGGAGGCAGAAAGTGAAGGAGGGTGAGTGTCCCTGATGCTTCCCGTATCGGCCTGGTTATCCCTCACGTTATTGCTGTTGCGTAGATAGCTGCTCACGCATATGCTCTGCTCTGAAAGGAAATGAAAGCAATGATTGCTTTGCCTTAGATTATAATTAAAGTATTAAATATTATTGATATTTTAGAAAGCTTAGATCACATTGACAAAAGGGATAGATAGATAGATAGATAGATAGATAGATAGATAGATAGATAGATATAGAGATAGATGATAGATAGATATAAAATGATGTCCTGTTAAGAGTTGAGGAAGACAGTCGTTATTTTCCAGAATAGCTAACTTATTTTCTAACGTGATTATTAAAAATAACCAGTAGTAAGTGGCATCATGTAAGGGTTGGGGAAGACAATCATCATTTGCCAAGATGGATAACCTATTTTATTTTTTTAACCTATTTTATAATGTGATCAATGTGCGGTTTTTATATAGAAACTCCCTAGACAGTGTGGCTCAGTAGAACTTGCTGTGATGTTAGAAGGTGACTGTATCTGTGCTGCCCAGCATAGGAGCCACTGGCCCTGTGTGACTCTTAAGCACCTCAAATGTGGACTGGTACAGCTGAGGAAAGGAACTGGTAATTTTAACTCATTGTAGTTCTAATCTTATTTCATGTCATTAAATGTACCACATGGAACTAATAGCTGCTGAACTTTATTGCAGGTCTAGAAAGCTTACAGGATTTAGAAGTGATCCTGTTGCATCCCTACATGGGTTAATATCCTGAATCCCAGCATGAAAAACAAGTATTCCCTTAGTTGGGAAACCAATAATCTGTGGGTTTAAAACATCGGCCCTGGGTAGTCTTTTTGAAGAACAAAACAGCCAGGTTCTTGTATATTGTTGTTTAAGGATCCGTACTGAATGTGATCAAGCCTGGCATCCTTGAGGGTGGGGACCTTGTTGTCTTCATGACACCTTACCTCTGTGCTTTCGCAGAGTGGGTGCCAGGAAGAATGTCTTAGCTGAGTGAGTGAGTTGCATACTGTGGAATTGGGAGGTGGCGTCTGAAGTCATCTTAGATATCGATGCTAGGTCCAGAATTGTCAAGCGTCTCTTGTATGTCGGAAGAATGACTATGAAGTTCTTTTGGTAGAGAAAAGCCACAGATGCCGGGGTGAATGACCAGGTGTTCTAAGAACTTGGTGTTCCTGAACAGTAACAAGATGTCCCAGACTAGTTTTAAAATGGGCAGGTGGGATGTTTAGAAAGCATCCTAGGTTCATTGGGAAGTGTGAATCAGAAGACAGACCTGGGAAGTTCCATGAGAATGGGTAAGAACAACTAAGTACTCTAATAGTGATCAGAAATCTGCCACAATATGGGGCATCGCTGAGCGGTACAGAAGACCAACCCGTGGTTATCCTGCCTGCATGGACATCTTTCATCGGGGATGCTGGGTGAGGGTTGAGCAGTCCCTTCCCAGAGAGGACACGTTAGAGCTAGAGGGTGGGAGGAGCTCCTGAAGCCTGATGGAGGCGTACAGGCTAAAGCAGTGAGTGGTCTGTATTCTTAAAAATCTTCTGTCGATGAATCTAAGTCTGGTTGCTCAGGAAAGTCTAAAGTTCTAGAAAGGGAAGCAGCCCTTGTTCGGTTTAGGACAGATAAAAAGACAATCCCAAGATTTAATGAAACTCCAGATATTGGCACAATGAATATGGGTTCAAGGAAGATTTGTGAAAACTATGAATGACGTGCCTGGTATGGATGTAGCCGAACTTTAAGACAGAGACAGTGCCACAGTACCTCTTCTTGCTTGGTCATGGGTGTTTTTGTTAGCAATAACATGCAAGGTTAGATGCAATACCGCCGTCCTACTGACGGACCAGACTGTAGGAAGTGCCACTAAACCAAACAAACAGGAGAAAACCTTTCCTATTTAACACTACTTTAGAGAAGTTTTTTTTTCAAAGCAGAACAAAAAAAAAACCCATTTAATTAAATTATTTTTTAACAGCTACAAGTATCATGTCTTTGTCGATAAATACCTGTACGCTAGCCACCTCCCTAGGCCTTCTCCCTCCCTTTGGAACTTGGCTGATCTCAACCAGCTTGCCTGCTGCCAGGCCTTCTTTAGTCACCACAAGCATTCCAGAGACCCCAGGAGAAAACCAGTCTAGGAAAGGCCTATGCCAGCTAGATTGCGCCAACTGGGGAATAACAAAATGGTAGTGAGCGTGGGGCCACTGACTGGCCCCAGCTTGCGGAGTCTGCTGGGGAACCCTTTAACTTGGTGAGCTGAAATACAGACCTTGCTGTTTGGGGCTGTGGGGGTTGTTTGTTGTGTTTTGTTGTTGGTTTTGGTACTTGTATTCTTCCAGTTATCTCCTCCTGTTGACATTCACGTCTAGGCTTCCAGGCAAAGACTCAGATGCAGACTATAACAGCCTTCTTGTAACCCTCAAAGTTGTTACAGTTTGAAAATGATTTTTTTCAGATCTATTAAAAATGCAGTATTGTGATTGAAATCTTTTCTTTAGGAGACAGCCATTGCCTTAGTCAGCATGCAATCTTTGATGGTTTCAATGCTTCTTCTACATGTATGTGTTCCTATATACAAGGAATAAATGGTGTTTTGTTCCTATAATGTATAGAAATGACATTATGTGGTGTATTGTTTTGGTAGCTCTTTTTGCTTTAATACTTTTTTTTTTCTGTTTTGAGGCTTTTCCATGTTGGTGCTTGTAAACATGCTTTTTAAATGTGGTACTGCATTCCATTGATGGGATATTTAAGCAATTATTCATATTATTCTATTTAATAAATAAAACACAAGAATCAGATACCAGGATAGAAATCTGATTGAGCAGAGAAGCTGTGGAGAAGCCACCAGTGACCTTCTCTCTCTCTCTCTCTCTCTCTCTCTCTCTCTCTCTCTCTCTCTCTCTCTCTCTCATTCCTTGATCCAAAAGGGCCTAAGCCCCTCCCTACTACTTCCTGTGTCTCTCTATATGTCCATAGTCAAAACTTCTATGACTAATTCTGATCAGCTAGTAGTTAGCTCTGCCTTCTGATTCAAGGTCAACTTTATTGGCAGTCTATGGAGTGTCAGAGTGCAATCAAAATATCCCACAACAGGATATAGGTATTCCTTATTAGTGGTGAGGTCACCATTTGTTTGCTCCTATAAACAACGCTTCAGTGAATGCCCTCCCCATTCCAAAGGGAAATGTGGAAGAAGTTCTATAAAGCGTGCATTTGAAGTGATGACTTAGAGACTGCATGTATTACTTATATGCATATTAATAAGTCTTTAAAGTACTTCCGGTTCACAAACCTGACTGCATGAGAATGCTTATTGTCCCATGTTAATACTTGTAGTGTCGGACTCTTAAATTTTAGGCAAATTGATGAAGATGAAATGTTCACTAATAATTTCCAAATTTGTATTTCCCTGACCATTAGCAACATTGAGCATATTTTCATAAGATGTTTGCAAATAGATCTTCACTTCCATGAAGGGGGCAGGGAGAACAAGAGAGGGAGAAGGGAGGAGGCTAGAGAGAAAAAAAATGGGAATACAGCCGAAGTCCCTCTTAGTCCCTGACTGTGTGTCTACTCCGCACCAGGCACTGTTGGAACTCTGGGGGCACAGCTGAGAATGAAACAGTCTTGTAGACCCAACCGTTTTTCCTTACGATGAGGCAGGATGTTGAAGAGGAATGCTCCCCGTCATTATAACCACAGCCCCAGAGGTGAAGAACCACACAAGACCTTTCAAGTGCTCAGCGTCCTGTGCCATCGGGGCCTAGGCCCTCCTGGCAAGGACAAGGGCATGCTGGGAGCCCGAAGCCATTGCCCGTGTGAGCATTTAACTCATTGCAGCTGCGAAAGAGACTGCTACAGAGCTGAGAAGTTACTCCACTGCTGACCATCCCACTAGCATGCTTGCGAAGCCCAGCTTCTGTAGGAATGGGTGTTGTTGCTCAAGTAGACGTGTGGTGTGGGAAGAGAAGAGAGGGTGGTACGCATAGCCTTCTGGAACCAGTAGGACCGGAGTGGACGGCGGCAAGTAAGCCTGCAAAGGACGCTGAAAACTGGTCAAACAAGTGTGTGTTGAGGTGGGAGAATAAAACGGGACCACCCCACCTCAGAACAAACCGGCAGAGGTCAGAGAAGCCGGGGGAGAATGAGGTTTCCAGAGCGGCAATGAGACCCCACGCTTTCTTTCATCGTTCCGTCCCAAGAATGCATCCATTCTCAGCTTCGACTGCGTAGATGACGTCAGCTCCCCAAACCCAAATTCTTTTCTTAAAATGTGCTTGAGGCCAGTGAAGTGGCTCAGAGGGTAAGAGCCTTTGCCACACAAGCCCGACAACCTGTGTTCCATCCCTGGAACCCGAGGTGGAAGGAGAGAACTGACCCCCAAACATGGTCCTGTGACCTCCACATGAATGGCACAAATGCCATGGCTTGCACCCCACCCACCCCCAGACACACATACAGTAATAACAAGTGAAATAACTTTCATTAAAATGTGGTTAATAATGTATGTGTCTTGCTGTCTCTAGCCGCAGTTGAGATGATATAGGCAGGTGCTTTGCACCCTGTCTAATCCGTCGTGAATTCTGTAAAGAATTATTTTATCAGTTAGAAGGGAAACGGGCCTGAGGATGCAGCTTAGTGTTTGGGAGCACCTGCCCAGCAATTGCAAGGGCCTGGGTTGGGTCCCTAGCACCATGAAGGAGAGGATTAAATGTATCAAATGCACTAGAACGGGGGCAGGGCATTTTTTTTTTCTGCAGAGATTTTAGGAATTGAAGACATACAGGATCTGTCTGATCTACCAAGCTCTACCACCGGAGCGGGGAAAGTAACTGCAGACAGCGTGGGAGTGGCTGGGACTGAAAAAACTTGACAAAAACAGGTGGCGAGTAGATTAAAGATGGCGGGTTCCTTAAAGCTATGTTTCCTTCCTATAACACGATCTGCAGCAAATACAGGTGTCCTGGGGCCCCCTGCAT